TGGCACACTACCACCACCAAAGAGGTTAGGGAGTCCAGTATAATAAGTGCTGGACTGTGAATCACAATGTCAGTGATTCAGACTCACCAGCTGCTTCTCAGAAACCCTATACAGGATTGCTGTGAGTCAGAATTGACTCGAGGACACTTAACAACAACAACATAAAGGATTCAGCTATGTGGTTAAAAAGAGATGGCAACACTGAGGTTAAGACAGAGTTTAGCAGGAGTGGACAGAAAAATGGAAAGGAGCTTCAAAAGAAGAAAAAGGGGACCCTGGAGGGAAATCCTGGCCTGATTTGAAGGTGGCGAATAGTGGAGCCAATTATATTGTTGTAGGAATTATTGTCACTGGGGCCCCAACAGACAGATCTCTCCACTCCAAAATAAGTCATTTATTACTTCATAAACAATTTCCAAATTACATATTATTCTTTGTCAAAATAATTTTATGGGGTAAAGATAAATGCTTACCAATTATGACTAATGTGCCCTTAAGATTTAAAAAAAAAATCCCTTGCAGTCTTCCCTTTCCAGTTCTGAGGCATGAACAGAAGTCAGTTTCTGGGTCAAAGAGAAGGGAGGAAGGCAGGAATTCCTGTCCAGGCAGGAATCACCTCCATTTATTTATTTTTTTGTCCAGAAACTTTCTTTCATTTCTTAAGATCAACTCGTCAGAGTTGCCTTCTTTTGCTACTCAAGACAGGCAGAAGAACCCCCAGATAAACCTCAGAAGGGTACCTGGGTGGGAGTATGTTTGGGTGGATCCCTGAGAAGGTCTGTGGTTATCCTGGGCATGGGAGATACAGGGCCTAAAGTAAGATTCTTAGGTTCAATCTTCTTTTCCTTTCCTGATCTTTCCCGTCTTCACTCTCTACTTCCACACTTGCTATCTGAACTATAATAACTGGGAAGGAAGTCCCGAGTTTGCTTTTCCTTGAAGTGCTGCAAAACTCTGGCAAGTGTCTAGGGACGCATTCTGTACCTTTGCTTTCATTACTTCTGGGTAACAAAGAAGCTGAATGAGCCTCTCTAGTGAGACTGGAGGGGCAGGTTATGTTGTTTCACCAGGGATTCTGATACCTCCTTCCAAAGTAAGGGAGGAAGAGCAACGACTGACTCCTTTGGGGTTTCCCTAAGGGGCTCTATTTTTTAAGGGCACAGTTGCTTTTCTTGGGTAGCTTGTACTTCATGGTCTTGCCGGAGGTAATGAGAGCCCCAAAGCCAGATTTGTGAGAGAACGCGTATGCAGAACGATGAGGACCCATGTATCTTCGTTTGGGCTGGGCTCGGGGTGCCAGTGGTCGTTTCATGCAGTCACGGATTCTGGATAAAGCCTACAGCCAGATTAGAAGGAACAGGGTTTTCACCCACAGAGGTAAAGGCAAAGATGGTCATGAATTATATCTGAGCCGATTCCTTGGTCCTCTCACCTTGTCCACGCCGATGGGCCAGAATATTGGTTTGAGAAGCTGGTATCCCATCACAGGCAACACACAGAGGGCCACGCTGAGAATAACACTCAGCCACACCTGCGGCTGGTTTAGAGTGTTCCTGGCCACTCCTGAAAGCAATCAGCCAGAAGGAGAAAGGCAATGGGAGTGGGGGTTGGGAGTGGGTAGTGGAGTCAGGATTAGGAGATGCCAGCCAGAACGTAAATACCATTTTGGTTCAAAGAAGAGAGTTATTGATTTGGAGACAGCCTAGTCTCATGAGACATAAGATAAATGCACAGAAATGGCAGTTGGATTCTTTTTGGAGCCAAAGTCTCCATAAATTTAGGTGCCTTAGTATCCCATTAAAGGTAGAGCAGCGTAGTGGGGTAGGTTATGGGGGAATCCTAGATTGCTGACCTGAGCACAAAAAATAAGATTGACATCTCTGGAAGAAAAAAATGAGTTACTGGCCTACCAAGACATAGGAGCCAGCTACATGTACTCCCTCTATATTTTGTCCTCAGCCATGTGGAGATGGAAGTCAGGAGACAATATACCACAATGTAAGGGACATTAGACTGGGAGTCAGAACACCTAGATTTGAATTTAATTTAGAAAAATCTGTCTCCTGTCTCTAAAATGGTGTTAAAAATTCTAATCCTGTCTACATCATTGTACGCTGTAAAGATCAAATAATTTAAGAAGTCTGAAAATAGTAATAAGGAAAAATATTTCCCTTACCTAGATTTTTTAGCCTTTTTAATGCAAAGGCTCTATTTTATTCATCTCTTATCCACAAAGCCTACCACATAATAATAGCTGTTCAATAAACAAAACAAATACATTTGCTTAAAACTTTTCCTTCTCCCTCCCACATATACACCCACTGGGCAGGACCTTACCATGGAACTGGAAGACGTTGGGGAACATTAGGAACAGGTCATCACTATACAGGAAGAATAGGACCCAGAAGTAGAAGCTCAGGCTACCCCAGGTGAAGAAGTGGCTTATAAATGTCCAGTAAGTTGTCTCCAGGGCAATCTGAAAAGTATTCTCTTATATGCAGAATTCTGTGTCCTGGTATGTAGCAGCCACCTCCCTTCTTACTCTTGCCCTCCTTCCCTTTATCCCAGCCAGGCTCCCCACCCATTCCCCTGATCCCCACTAGTCACACCTGTATTGTCATCACACAGAGCAAGGAGGTCTGCACTATTACAGAGAAGGACTGGTAACCAGACATTTCCTTCCCATCATTGCGTACTGAATTGTAAATGGTCTTCATAGGGACAAAGAACAGCACAAGGGAACTGTAGATGCCATGTATTAAGCACTTCACAAATGCCTTCCTGTTGAAATAGAGGTTGGCCTGGCCTGGCTCATACAGCTCTGGGATGTGTAGGCTCCACATTCCATTTATATCCTGGAAGTACCAAAAGTAAAGAAGACGACTCAGGGTTTTTCCATTGAAGGTCCCATCTCCACCAGAGTGGAGGCATTTTTCCTCACTGAAACCTAGATTATCTGCTGCCAGCTCCCTGGGGCATGGACTACTTGAGAAGTGGAACCAGAGAACAGAGTGGTGACCATAGAGCCTTTCTAAAACCCTACTCTTTAGGTTAGGACCTAGGTAGTTGAAGAATACTAGGAGAGGGTCAGGATGATGGGAAGGACATGGAGTCAGGATTGGGAAGTTAAGTAAGAAGGGAGTAACTAGGATTGGAATAGATGCAAGGGAGAAGTGAAGTTTATGATGAGTCAGACACACATTTCCATGTTTAGGTATACCTTTAGTAGAATGTTCTTTGTATCAAAAGCCTGTAAGTGGTGAGGTGGGGGTGGGGAGTCAGCGGGGACCAGTCAGTCCCTTGGAAGAATCCATGTTTGTGATTTATAGGAGGATTCTCTGTGTGGGTAACAATGGGTCATCTTCATTTCTTAAAGTCTGAAATTTCAGATAACAAGTCTTGAGACTTGGCTTCAGAGAGCATGTTGTTAGGTATCATTGTACCAATTCTGACTCATAGTGACCCTGTCTAGGGTTTCTGAAGAGCGGCTGGTGAGTTTGAACCACCAATCTTACGGTTAGCAGTCCAATGCTTATTCTACAGTGCCACACTTTAGAATTAGACTGTTGGGACTAGATAGAACTGTTAGTGACAAAACTCATCCTTTTTGCTACTCTGAGGTTGGCAGCTACTTCATAGAGAATTTTCTTCAGAATCATTATCCTGATGGAGCTTGGGAACCCTGATCCCTTGAAGTTCTCTTTTAGTGACTTTCTTACTTTTTGAGGACTTCTTTTCTACTTCATATACCCAGGATGGGAGGTAGGGGTAGAAGAGGAGTGAGAGGTAGGTCACTAGGGCCCTCACTGCCCAGGGGGAACTTCTAATAAGGATAGATGGTATCACCTAGGCTGGCTCCCTATGACTCACAATATCTCATGCTATACCTTTAAGACTGCTCACTTAGGACTACTTGCACTGGTTTATTTCAGTCTCTTTACAAGGTGTTTCAACAAGTTCATAGAAAAATTCCATAATCTTTTCATTCCATTTTCCCACCACTGTTTTGAAGCCCCCTTGTATTTCTATGTTGGTCTCTCCTTTTTTAAGGCTCTTTACTGAATCCAGCTTCAATAACTGTGTCCATTCAATACTCTTGTACACACTCATTTTACCATCTAGTACAATTTCCATGTATCTCTCTACAAGGATAAAACCGACATGGGAAAACTGGGATTTTTAAAAACTGATGATTATTCTCTATGGAGAAGGATTCTTTATTCTATGATACCAATCCTGGTGATGCCCAGGACTACTCCTTAAGAGTCCAAGGGCTTCAGCAGTGACTAAGATGTGTTTCCCTGGTCTTACCTGATCAAACAAACTCAGGCCCAGGATAGGAAGGGAGGTGTAGACCAGGTTGTAGAAAGTGATGAACCAGTTATCATAAACTGTCTGGAAGGACACCAAGGAGATTGCTTAGGCTTCTCTCTTTCCCAAGTTCTAGTTCTACCTCCCATGTTCAAAACAGTCCAATCCTCCCATCACTGCTACCCCACTAACTAGAGCAGCATCTTGATTTCAGAAACCTGACTCAGAAAGTTTTCCTCCAGTATCTAGTTTTCTTCTAACTAGAATACTGACTGGCCCTGTGTCCCACGCTGGGGTAAGATCATGTCATGCCTACCACGACCTGCCTTGACCCTCCCTGCACAGAAAGGACCCAGAGTGACTGCCAGAGCGTGCTGACTGTATGCTGCACTGCCAGGCATGTATGCCTCTGAGCTCTCTTTACTGTCTGACATGCAGTGATTTCTATTGGTTTCCAGTGCTTTCGGTATCTCTGACATTGGCAAGGGGGAATAGATAGATACCCGATGATTGTTCCATCAGAGAGGTCTCCTTTCCTTACTAGCCACTAGAGGTCAGTACACACACACACACACACACACACACACACACACACACACACTCTCTCTCTCTCTCTCTCTTTCTCTCTCTCTCTCTCTCTCTCCCACTCCACCCCTAACAAAGCAGACTGGCTTTTCTAGGTTCTGGGGAACATACAAGTCTTCTACTGTCTCCTGACTGATCTGTTTTTCCTGGAGCCTATTGCAGCAGGAATAGTAGGATCTCCCAAGATAATTATCCTTGAGGTTGCTTTTCTTGGGAATCCTCAAGAGACTCCTGAGTGATTAACTTTGCAGTCTAGGAGCGGAAGTCCCTGGAACCATGAAGGAAGGGAGAAGAGCGGAGAGCAGGACCCTACCCAGAGAAGCAGTGATCCCTGAGATAGAGGCAGAGACGATGATGTGGAGAGATGGAGCAGCTGGGGACTTTAGACCCAGAGAGGGAAAGGGGCTGTGTGCTGACGACAGGGGGGGTGGGGGCAGGCTTGTAGGATATACCCTTTTGTTGGTTGATGATGCATGGAGGGGACTGTAACCACGGCAATGAAACGATATACAATAGGATGAATGTAAAACTAATGTTCTCCCATGTAAACTATCACATAAATCACAATAAAACGTTAAAAAAAGAGAGACTTCATGAAACTCTTCTCATAGGAAATAGGACTCCTCTTAGAGGTGTACTCTTCCCCCACTATGATGGGAGAGAGTTCATATTAAAAGGTGGAATTAATTTTCAGAACAAGAATTGTGTGTGAGTGTGTGGGGGGGCAGGCAGAGATGGTAGGAAAGGAAAAGTCACTATGATTACAGATGAAGACCATCATTGGCTTGTCTGGCATGGCTCAGAGCCTTGTTTGTTGTTGTTGTTAAGTGTCATCGAGTCGATTCCAACCCATAGCGACCTTGAACAGGGTTTCCAAGGCTGTAAATCTTTACGGGAGCAGAAATCCTCATCTTTCTCCCGCGGAGCAGCTGGTAGTTTCGAACTGCTGACCTTGCGGTTCGCAGCCCGATTCGTAACCACTACACTACCAGAGCTCCTTGTTTAGGCTTAGCATATCCCATAAAGTTTCCTTTGGATGTTAAGAAAACTCCCAGATCCAAGAATCTTCTTACATAAGTTTAGATAGTGCAGGGTTGGGAGCTGGGATCAGCATGGAATCAAGAACTTTATGGATGGATGGCAGCACACCGTACATTGGTCTCTAAAGGAGAACAAGGATCTGATCTGGCTGAAGCTAGGGCAGAGGTGATAGAGAAGACTCAGTTGAGCAGAATTGGGATTGTCACCTGGACTCCTACCTGTGCAGAGAATCCGTTGAAGAAAGCATACCAGATGTGCACTAAGGTGAAGGCAAAGTTTTTGTAAAAGAAATAGCTGAGAAACTTGCACATGCGATTATAGGACCAACGACCATGGACCAACAGCAGACGCTGGAGATACTGGAACTGGGAAAAGGTGAAGTCACTGCTGAGCATGGCCTGCATCCCCTCCTGGCCACTGATGCCGACCCCAACGTGAGCAGCTGTAATGAAACCCCAGAGCTTCTCAGCTGCAGAGCTCATTTATTGGGCTCCTAGGCTGGGAAGTATAAAGGAAGGCTGAGGTCATATTGCCAAAATCCCTCATTCACAGTTGGAAAATACTGTTAGGCCCAGCTCAAAATGGCATTTACTCAGTGGGGTCTTTTCTTTTTAGTGGATTGTCCCTCACTTGCAAGTCAGAAAACAGCTCCTTCATTTGCACTTTGTTTTGGATGCTGTCACTCAAGAATGTCTGACTAGCTCAGGACTACAACGCTGTGCTGGGTTATCTTTCCCCCTAGTCTAACTCTCTGGGCACTTCCCTACTGTACAGATGCTGAGCTAGCATTTTCTTCTTGTCTCTGGAAGTCACTTAAGTTAACTAAAGGTGCAGGATGGATGTTAGTATAATAAAATGTTTAATTACCTGAGTTTATCTAAGGGGCTAAAATACAACTGTTGGGAAGAGAATATGATATTCAAGGGTGAGTCAAAAGTTATCCGCACTCTGGCTCTAGACTTTATTTTAATCGACAAGTTTAGACTTCAGCGCTTCAGTAAGTACCTCACTGTAATGAGCATTGTTGAGTTTTGACCTTTTCCCTGGTAGTGTTTCAATACTGGCCCTTGAGGATCCCAGAAAACTGTAAGCATCAATTTTCCAGCTGATGGTTGATTCTTGAACTTTTTCATGGTTGGTGATTGAGGATATTTCCATTCTATACTCTGCCATTTACTCGTAGTGATGAATCCATGATTCATCACGAGTAATGATTTTTTAAAAGAAACTTTTACCTTTTTCCAGTATCGGTCCAAATTTTGTTTGCAGAGGTCCAAATGCTTCTGTTTATGCTCTTTCATGAGTTGTTTCAGTGCCCATCTCACACAAACTTTTCCAAAACTCAAGTCTGTTGGTTATTTCATAGGCAGAGCCATGGCTGATTTACAAATGATTTGCTACATAATCCGCTGTCACTTGTCTATTCAAGAGAATCATTTCATATGCATGCTCAGTGTTGTCATCAGCCGTGACGTGGGCAGGTGTTTTAATATAACTGGAATGCGGATAATTTTCGACTCACCTTTGTGCATAGAACTTTGTTAGTGAGAAACAAGTTCTTCAGGAGGCCCATAGCGATTATTTTTCTTCCCTAAGTAAAAGCAAGGATCACACTTGATGGGAGATAACACCCAAATTCTTAAAAGTTCTAATTTGTTTTTTTTAGTGTAAGCCAGATTTCTTGGTCTTCTGGTATATATCTATTATACAGTTTAATGGGATGTATGTATGTACCAATAAGTGTGGATCCAGGTATAGGAGACCATGAATTTAGCTGTAAAACAGTATAAATGTCTAACACATTTGATATGCAGAAATGTGAGCCAGCAGCACAATGCCACCCCCATCAGTTTCGCCCATGAAGGAAAAGGTCACTTCATGACTCTTCCCCCATCCCTCCACATGCCTTTGATCATGCCGACGTCATTGGCCCCATCCCCGATGGCCAGTGTCACCACCTTCTTGTACCTCTTCACCAGCTCTACCACCTGGGCCTTCTGAAGGGGTGTCATCCGGCAGCAGACCACCCCGTTGCACATGCATGCCGTTCTCAGCAGTTCCAACTCCAGGTTCCTTTCTAGGGCATAGGCCTGTAGCAGCAGGACACAGCCATTCTTCAGGTTGTTCCACAGGCCTTTAGGGTAGGACATTCCACCCCCACTCACCCGCTCCCCTCCTCACCCCCAGTCTGTACTCTTGTGTCCTTCACTTGGGATGGGAAACCCTGTGCCTAGGGGTTTTCCATCCTATGTGAGGACAAGCCCCGTAAATCAGGAAACTCAGCCTCTGGAGGTTAAACAGATCAGAGCCCCTAACTGGGTCATGTCAGTTAACTGGTTAGGAAGGCAAGTGTCTTCTTAGAGAACCTGGTTCTGCTTCATTCCCCTCTTCCCCTAAGTGACAGACTATCAACCATAAATTATTGAGCAATTTGGCTAAGAAAGGAAAATGTCCTTGGTTTTTATTTTCTCATTTACTCCTGTAGGATAAGAGTTCTGCTGTGGCCCTGTACAATAAGTGCTGGACTGCAAGGTCAGTCTGAACCACAAGGTCGTCAGTTCAAACTTGCCAGCTGCTCCTTGGAAACCCTATACAGGGTCACTATGAGTTGGAACTGACTCAACAGCACTTAAACATCAACAACAACCTGTAGGAAAGCACTGGACTGCTAACTACAAGGCCAACAATTCAAACACATCAGTTGCTTCTCAGAAGCTCCCCCTATACAGGGTCACTATGAGTCAGAACCTACTCAATGGCACCTAACAACAATAATAGGAACCCAAGAAAAGGTGTCTATTGGACAAGGGCACCTGAAGGGAGGGGGAATAGGTGACTCATGGAATAGGTGAGGGGTTCTGTAATCTCCCTGAAGTAGATTGGACCTAAGAAGAAAGTTCCTAAGAAGTAGATTGGATCTAAGAAGACAGTAAGAAGAGAACCGAGCTACAGCTCTGTATTGCCCACCATACTGTAGCCATTGATGACCAAGCCATAATTTCCATTGGGTTCCTCCTCAGGTAGTCTTAAGGGCTTTCTGGGTTTTGTGGTGAGATGGATGTTTATTGGATCTGTTTTCAGTAGAGATTCAGGTTTAATCTGGTTCCGTGCTGACCTGAAAGTCAAAAGTAGTTGATCAGAGTCTGATCTGAAACCCCAGAGCTTTGAAAAGAAAATGTGTCCCAGACTGGCAGGGGGCAAGGTGGGTAGAGAGCTTCCATAAAGCAGTAGTCAGGAACTTAGACTTAATGGCCTCCTGACAGCTGCCACTTCGTTGGCCACCCACACACAGGATTTCTCCATCCCCCATGCTCCAACTTGTTTTGGAGTCCTGGTATGGTGCTGTGGGTTAATGCGCCAGATTGCAAAGCTGTTTGAACTGCAAGGTTGATGGTTCAAGCTCACCATCTGCTCCTAGGCAACCCTATACAGGGTTGCTATGGGTCGGACCCGACTTGATGGTACACAACAACACCATGCTCCAACTTTTTTATCCCTAATGTTTCTTTACAAAACTCTCTAAAATATTTGAGGTTTCCTGTTTTATTCACTTTCATTTTTTCTATGTTTCTTCTGGTGGTGATTGCTATGGCCACTCTCCCACCTATACCTGAGTTCTTTCAGAACAGTCTCATTGTCGCTGCCCTCCACAAGGAAGACCCCGTCCATGTCTTCATTAAATATGTTACAGGAGTAGGCAATGTTCACAGCAGTCTCTGTAGGAAAAGCAGAACACAGTTCTGACTTTGGCAGGAACTTCTAGACTGGGACATTGTCTTCTCAGACTCTAACACTGTCACAGAGGCCATTTGTCTGCACTTTCCATGACTCATCCAAAGCGTAGTTTTCACTAGTCAGTGGATACAAGATTTAAGCATGTGTAGATGATTGTTTACCTGGTGTAGACTTACTTACAAGTTATTTATCAGTAACTAGGATCATTCTTAGACTTCTGGTGTGGTACTGTAGGATAAGCACTGGACTGCAAACCAAAAGGTTGGTGGTTCAAACCCACCACCTTGCTCCTCATAAACCCTGTACAGGGTTGTGATAAGTTAGAATTGATTCAACGGCACTCAACAACAACAGGATCATTCTTGGGGTCCTGGAATGGCACTGTAGGATAAGCACTGGATTGCTAACTATAAGGTTGGTGGTTCAAACCCACCAGTTGTTTCTCAGAAACCCTAAACAAGATCACTGTGAGTTGGAACTGACTGGATGGCATTTAATAACGACAGGATTGTTCTGACTTCCCCTTCTCTACAAAGCCTTTGCCTATTTCTTAAAGCAATTACAGTCTATATGCATGTCTCCAGACACACAGCATGTATTTCCTTAAAAGTTCATTTCTAAGCTAGATATTATGGGAGTTTGAGACAAGATTAGATTGTAGCCCTTTGTTTATACGAAGAAACCTAGAGTTTGAAATGAATTCATACTAAGAAAAACTTAAGTTCTGAACCCTGACTGTAGAATATATTAAAATTGAGATGATGGACTGAAATGGCCACAGAAACCTTGGAGGAAAGCTTAGAATGAGGAAGAAGAAAGCATTTCAAATGGGGAAACAGCATGAACAGAGACCTTGAATAGGACATACTGAAAATAATGGTAACATTAAGATAATGGTCAATAAGGATATCATTTCCTAAAATGGTCGATGTTCAATCATTTCAAGAGGTAGCGTATGATCAAGGGCCAATGATACTGAAGGAAGAAGTCCAGGGTGCATTGAAGGAATTGGCAAAGAATAAGGCACCAGGAATTGATGGAATAAAAATTGAAATCTTTCAAGAAAGTGAGGCAGCACAGGAGGCACTCACTCATCTATGTCAAGAAATTTGGAAGAAAACTATCTGGCTGGCTGATTGAAAGAGATCTATATTTGTGCCCATAACAAAAGAAGTGACCCAATGGAATGCGGAAATCATCAGACAATATTGTTGATATCCCATGCAAATAAGTTTTACTAAAGGTAATACAGAAACGGATGCAAGCATACATTGACAGAGAACTTCCAGAGGTTCAAGCTGGATTCAGAAGAGGCCATGGAATGAGAGATATCATTGCTGATGTCCGATGGATCTTGGCTGAAAGCAGAGAATATCAGAAAGATGTTTACCAGTGCTTTATTGACTATGCAAAGGCTTTCGATTGTGTGGATCATGACAAGCTATGGACAACATTGTGAAGTATGAGTATTCCAGAACACTTAATTGTGCTTATGAGGAATTTGTACATGGACCAAGAGGCAGTTGTTCAAACAGAACATGGGAACATTGAATGGTTTAAAATTAAGAGAGGTGTGCGACAGGGTTGTATTCTTTCATCATACTTATTCAACCTGTATGCTGAGCAAATAATACGAGGAGCTGGGTTCTATGAAGAAAAATGTGGCATCAGAATTGGAGGAGTCTCATTAACAATCTGCAATATGTAGATGATACAACCTTGCTTTCTGAAAGTGAAGAAGACTTAAAATATTTACTGAAGAAGAGCACAGCTTCAGTATGGATTACATCTCAATGTCAAGAAAACAAAAATCCTCACCTTTGGACCAATAAACAACATTCTTATCAATGGAGAAAAGATTGAAGTTGTCAAGGACTTCATTCTTCTTAGACAACTATCAACACTCATGGAAGCAGCAGTCAAGAAATCAAATGACATATTGCATTAGGCAAATCTGCTGCACAAGACCTTTTTTCTTAAAATGCTGAAGAGGAAAGATGTCAGCTTGAGGACAAAGGTGCACCTGACCCAAGCCATGATATTTTCAATCACCTCATATGCATGTGAAAGCTGGACAGTGAATAAGGAAGACCATAGAAAAATTGATGCTTTTGAGTTATGGTGTTGGAGGAGAATATTGAAAGTGCCATGGGCTGCCCATGGAACCAAAAGATCTGTGTTGGAAGAAGTACAGCCAGAGAGCTCCTTGGAGGCCAGGATGGCCAAACTTCGTCTCTTATAGTTTGGACATATTGTCAGGAGGGACCAGTCGCTGGAGAAGGATATCACGTTTGGTAGGGTGGAGGGTCAGAGAAAAAGAGGAAAACCCCCAGCAAGATGGATTGGCCAAGTGGCAGCATGAATGGGCTCAAGCATGGCAACAATAGTGGTGTTGGCCCAGGATTGGGCAGTGTTTCGTTCTGCTGTGCATAAGGTCGCTATGAGTGGGTGCCGACTTGATGGTACCTAACAACAACCTAACAAAGGCAGCAAAAGTTTATCCAAGTATTAAAGGCCAGATAAAGGAGTCTGACCTTTACAACATGGACTCACTGTAGATCACTAAGTAGAAGAGTAAGTATATTTTAGGAAGATTAAACTGATAGTTGTATGTACTGTGTACTGAAACCAATAAGGGCAAGAGACAGAGAGATCGCTTCAGAAGCTTTTACAGAAGAACAGCTAGTAGGAGACAAAGGCTAAACTAGGGTGACAGCAGGATGTGGTAAGAAAATGAATCTTTGAGAAAACAGAAAGACAACGCTAAAGTGCTCAGCTTGTGAGTTCTTAGATAGCATGGATCATGTCTGATTGACTTTCTCTGTGCCCCCAATGCCTAACACAACGTGTGACATAAAGTAAGGTGCCCTAGAAGGATTTGACCTGAGTTACCAAATATTTGCCAAAAAATGACAAAGGAGCACAAGGAAGTGGATCATTCAGACTTGGAGCTTCTCTTTACCTTGCTTATCTCCAGTTAAAACCCACAGTTTAATTTTGGCTTTGTTCAGAGTGATGATTGTCTCAGGTACTCCATCCTGTAGTTTGTCTTCTATGGCTGTGGCCCCTATCAGCTTCGAACAGAGATATCAGGTAAGTGAGGAAAAGGGAAAGAGTCACAGCATTTAGTGCTACCCAACAGCTGAACTGGTATCAGCCTCCTTTCTTGATATAAGGACCCCAATGATATCAAACTTGGCATAATCTACCTTTGAATACAGACAGCTTTTCAACTATATACTGAAATCAAACTTAGAAATACAGACTATTAGGATCAGAGAGGGACAAGGGATATGTTCAAGTCATGCATAAAGGTATGTGTCACTTCTAAACTTGAAGTCTCACTTGCTCAACATACCTTCACTTCAACACTCCCCTGCTTCATAGTTCAACTCCTGGCTTTGTTCTCCAAAAGTAGTAGACCCCAGACAAGGGATTATTGTATCCTCTTTCATTTGTTCCTTCAACCCATAAGGATTTGGGTGTATTCCATTCGTTTATACTCATGGGGGCCCTCTAATGTCTTCAAGGCCTTTTCTTACACTAAAGTTCTCTCTATAGTACCCCAATGGTCCTAACCAAAGGGATGGATACCAGGACTGAGAGACTGAAGAATTGACAGACAAACCAGATTTCTGTTAGGCCTCTAGAAGGACAGTCTAGAAATACACCACAAACTGACTATGGGAAGAGGTTTGAGACCTTTGAAATCTCTATAAAATTTCCCACTTGGTATTAGTAATTTCTCTTATTACAGCAGAGCCAGTTTAAATCAGTTTGGTAAGTTCTGGGGTTATCCTTAGCTTTTCTTTCTCTCATACTTTATAATCCAATCTATCAGAAAATTATGTTGGGCCTACCTTTTAAGAATATAGGCACTCTAACCATGCCTCATGTGGATCCAGGCTGGTTCTGGACCAAGTCATCATCTCTAGCCTGTACTGCTGTAATAACCTTATAATTGGCCTCCTTTTACAGCCAGGATATTCTCAATATAGCCAGAGAAATAGTTAAAAAAAAAACCATCACATCACTTCACTAGCTGAATGCTTTAACGATTTCCTGTTTCAACATAAATCTTTATAATGGCTGTTAGGGATCCCCTACTACTTTTCTCTCTCACTGTTGTAAACATCCTGGTTGACTTGCTGTTCAACTAGAAGATCAGGTATGTTACTGTCTCAAGGCATTTGCACATACCATTCCTCCTGTCTGGAAAGCTAATGACTCAGAGATCTGTTTAACTTCCAACCTCATTCAGATCTCTTCTCATACGTCTCCTTCACAGTGAAGGTTAACTGCCCTATTTAAAACAGAAATTATGTCTCTGCCTTCTCCAAAACACACGTGTGGGCATTCCTTCCCGCCCCCACTCCTGTTTTTATCTTTCCTCATATCATTCTCATTATCTGACATATGTATTATTTGGTGTCTGCTTTCCTCACTAGAATGTAATTTCCATAAGGACAGGGATTTGTGTCTGTTTTATCCACTGCTATAGGAGAAAGATGAGGCTTTCTGCTCTTACAAAAGATTGAAAGCCTCAGAAACTCTATACAGGGTTTCTATGAGTCAAAACTGACTCCATGGCACTTAACAATATTAATTTAACAACTTACCCAGGGCTTAGAATAGGACCTAGCAAACAGAAGGCACTTAACAAATATGTTTAATGAATATGGTTATTTTTGTTACCTAATCTGTACATGATTTAGGTCCTAATTTCTCCCAGATTACTTAAATTTCTGGTGAGCAGCTTTGAGATAAGAAATACTGCCAGAAAGATAAGAATTACACCCAGTGCACTATCGGTCATTTGTTGATTTTTAAAAATTCAGGATATTCTGAATCAGTTGGATTTCAGCAACCAGCCACTAGTGCAAAGTTTTAGTGCTTTCCTGACAAGCCTGTCTCCCTTGGCTTTCAGAGAGAGCTTGTGCCTACCTTCTGTTAAGCTACTCTCAGAGGCCTTGCTGAGTCTGCTGGCTGTCACCCCCATCCCCATTCTGGTCCTGGGTTTCTCACACTAACCATTAAGTCTTTTTCAATTTCTTCATAGATATCTGACAATTTATCTTCCCGATTCTCCAAAGACAGGTAGGCTTCAGTATGCTTGCTGCTCCAGTCCTGGTAGAATGCATCATCCAGCTCTCGGTAGGCCACCATGAGTGTGCGAAGGCCTTCACTGGCAAAATTCTGGAAGACATGTGTGTGCTCTTAGTAGACCTGGGCTGAGTTAATGGAGTAGCAGACTGACCCCACAGGTTACATCTATTGGGGGACTGCTACTTAGACTAAACAGAAAACAACTGTTAAAGTTCTTTCTTAACAGCATAGCTGGGGGTGGAGTTGGAAAGTACCTAAAATAGAAGGTTATAGGGTCTAGCTGGAGTTGGGCAAGTTGCTGTGTAATCCTGGGAAAAAATCAATTTTCTAAATTTCTTTTTTGTAAAGCTGGGATACTGGCTGTGGTGTGAGCATGGAAAGAATAATAAAGTAAAAAGAGGTTGTCATAAACATAATCTAAGGTGTTATTGCTTTTCTTACAAGCATTGTTCCTTTCCTCTTTCCCTTCCATAATTCGTTAAATATTCAATGGGCATATACATACTTGTACATTTGCCCTAACTGGTTGGCTCAGTTAGTTAGCCATAACTGGCTAAGCTAATGAAGCCACAGTTCAAATGCAGCCTGAATGAGTTAGCATCTCTTTGCTCTTTGGCCACTGATGTAGCCTAACTAATCATAGCTAACCATCTACTAAAAATATCCCCTTGGCTATATGGATGATGGAGTGAGAGTATGGATGGTTTATGGTAGAATATATATGCAACTGAAGGTGGGTTAAAAACAGATTTTATACACTGAGAACTGTACATGGACACAGTTTTACATGATCATTGATATAATAAGTTACAAAGTAATTCACTATGGCATTATAAGAGCAAAGAGAAATGCCATGCAAGTTATCATCTTGATATTTTGCTCTTAGTTCCCTGTGTTAGTTCTTAATTGTATGGCTTTAACTGTCAGGTGAAATTAACATAAGGCAATATATGGTAGTCTATATGGGGTCCATGTTTGGCACTGTAGGATAAGCACTGGACTGCTAATTGCAAGTTAGGCAATTTAAACCCACCAGCTATTCCTCATAAACCATACACAGGATTGCTATGAGTTGGAACTGACTCAACAGCACTTAACAATAACAACATATATTGTTGGATAGGCCCTGGTGTGGCACTGTAAGATAAGCACCTGACAGGTAACCACACAAGGTTGGCAGTTCAAACCCACCAGTCACTCTTGAGAAATCTAGACAGGGATATTATGAGTTGGAACCAACTCAATGGCACACAACAACAACCACATACTCTTGGAAGCGATATTATGAAAAAGAAGATCAGAGTAGAGCTCAGGTGAAGCGACCAGCTGTTTTGAAGAGCAAGGAGGTGTGCGTGAACTTCTAAACTCGCAGCTAGTTTGACCATTTGATGTAGCTTGGATGGCTAGTTGACCAGAACTCGAACTGAGGAAGATAAAGATATTTGACACTGTGAACAAGTGCAAATTGCTGCCATTTTATGAACTACAGTTCTGCTTATGAATTCAGTGATGCAAAATTCCAACCTGAATGGAAGGATTCTTCATATCAAGGAACAACCTTTTTTCCTCAGTGTACTGGGCTGATAGGGACAAGAAATATAGACATTGGCTACCAAAAATGGGGGCCTAATAAAAAAGCATAAAGTGGTTGGCTTACAAGCTTTCATGAGTGGGCTTAGTTTCAGAATGAGGGGGCTAAAATAGAATCTCCTCCGAATAGTTTTTCTCTTTTCCAGATTGATCTGGTGAAAAAGGGGTGATGGTGACATGATTTTATGAATCAATTGTGATTAACTGTTAGCAGGATTAATTGTGATTGTCACAACTGTAATTGTAGAAGATGTTTAACTAAAAGTGGGGATTAGTTAATTCATTTCAGGAACAGATGATCCCAGGACCATCAAGAAGGAAAAACATGAGTGGAGTGTGAGGTGCCTACCTGTAGAGACAGCAGAGTTGGTGGCTGAGGCAGTGGCTTGGAGAGACAGAGTAGTTGTGGGCTCTAGGCCCATGGGCTGAGAAAGGCTGTGTACCTGTGGGCAGGAGGCTGGTTGGCAGAATGTACCCTTTGGACATTTAAATAAATAGGTATTTTTTGTTTTGTAAATGCACATCAAATATTTTGTTATGTTTATTTGTGAAAAAAAAAAAAGGTACATGGGTAACTGTTGTTGCAGGGAGTGGATTGTGATAGTTGAGATGAAACAAAGTGTAAAACTTGCTAAATGTGAAACTGTTGATCTTTAAACCTTTACCAGATTCACAATAAAAAGTTAAAGAGTAGATCTCAGGAGACTTCATAAAAAGGAAGTGATAGTGGCAGACACTGGTTTGCAAAGGATACTGATAAAAGTACTTGACAAGCTTAACAATAAGATAGATTCATTTATTCATTCCACCCAGAATTTAGCAGGATGTGTTAACATGACCTCTTTTCCCTTACTTGTGTGTTTTCCTTTTCTTTCAGAGCCAAGGTAGGCAAACTAGAGCTTGAAAACCACATCTTGCCTGTCACCTGTTTTTATGTAACCTTTTTGTTGATCCCTGTTGTGGGGGCCTGGACTGTGATTCTGCATTAGTACTCTTTCTTACAGGTTTCTTGTCAGTGGTTAACTGATTGGAATGTACTCACTCGTTGTTGTGTGCTGTCAAGTTGATTCCAACTCTTTTTTTATTTTTTCCCACCTTTTTATTGTGAATTGAGTGAAGGTTTACTGAGCAGATCATCAGTTTTACATTCAACAAATCATATGCTTTGCTTCACAACATGGTTGCAATCCCCTCTACATACCAACAGTTAACAGTATTAACTTTACTCACTGTAACTACTGCATTCCTCCTTGTGGTTCCTGCTACCTACCTTCCTCTTTCCTCTGTTAACATCCCTCTTGTTGTGCGCTGCCTGCCCTGTCACCCATGTTACTCTCTAGCCTTTTAATCATTTTCTCCCACCTCAACCCTCCCCATAACCATCATAGATGGTTTCTTTTATCAAGAAAAACTTTAACTTTTCAACATTTGTCATTTTGTGATTGACTAATTTCACTAAGCATAATGCCCTCCAGTTTCAACCATGTTGTGAAGTGTTTTACAGATTCATCATTATTCTTCAATGTTTTGTTGTGGTTGTGAAGTGCCGTTAAGTAGATTCCGACCCATAGCGACCCTGTATAGGGTGTCTGAGGAGCAGCTGGTGAGCCTGAACTGCCGATCTTGCAGTTCAAACAGCTTTGCAGTCTGGCGCATTAACCCACAGCGCCACACCAGGACTCCAATACTCCAGTGTTTTGTAGTATTTCATTATTTTGTAGTATTCCATTATGTGTATGTACCAAAGTTTATTTAACCCTTCTTCTGTTGATGGGCATTTAGGTTTTCTTGGTATCTTTGATGTATCTGTTTTCTTGTAGACACCATATTGAAGGATCCTATTTTATTATCCATTCTGCTCTCT